AGTGCCAACAAGTCCCCCATCAATGAAAAAGACTGCCTTCAAAGCTTTGGAGGTGAGCTTGTTCTGATCCTAGAATTATCCCCTTTACTAGCACATACCAAACTCCCACCCCACAGTCCCTTCTTAGCTGTGCCTTCAATTTGTGGTTCTGTAAATAGTGTCCCCTGGTGATATGTGAATCTATCCACTAAATCCTCTCTAAATACAGAGGACTTGGCCCTTTACAGGGGCTTTGGGCCAGGGGTGTGGCTCTTCTCACAGTCTGAGGTGCTCAGTCAGCTGGCCTCCCAAATCCTACCCTTGGTTCTGGTGGTATGCAATTCCCCAGTGTTAGGTGAGAAGGGGTGATGATGGACAGGGAGACACAAAGCCTCCTATACTATACCAGTTCCAGAGACGCAGAGCCCCAGATGATGGCCCAGGGCCATATATGCCATTATTGCCTGAGCCTTTGGCACCACTGATAACTTTAGTCCCCATGCAGTACATTTCACTCCTCTTTGGAAGCACTGATCACAATCATAACTCCATTATTATCTGTTAAAATCATTCATGTAAGGTCTGTTTCCACACTGGACCGTGAGCTCCATGAGGACAGGAACCATGTCTGCTGATTCACCACAAAACCATAGTTCCTTTCAAAGTGCCCAGCTCACAGATGCTGAGCGAGCTGACTATATAGAGGAAATAACATACATCGACAATAATTTTATCCAAAACACTTTGCAGTACAACACTCGTACGCTTACTGTATCACCTGATCCTCTAACAAACTGGAGGGTAAAGGTCTTCATGTGCTGGAGCTGGCTTGTGCCAGCTTGCTAGAGCTAACTGTTAAACATTCTTGACTTTTTTGAAAGCCAGTTGTTAAACCATTAGTAACCTGATTGAACATGGTGGGGATATTTATATCCTGGAGATCAACAAAGACTATAAATAAGAGGTTTTCTTTTACAAAGAGCAGGTTTATCATCAAAGCACTGGTAGTAGGTGTGTTAAAAAATATTCTATAAATGAATAGATGGGCATAACTTTAAATATGGTGCCTCTGAGTTTCAGGAAGATGAAGTGAGACTTTCAAGGTCTCTGACCCTTACTATAGTGAGATGCTGGCTTCATGCATTTACTCATTTCAGCAGGCATTTTTGAAGTTCCAATAGTGTGCCAGGAACTTCCTGCCATGGCAAAATGTGATGGGGAAATTAGTAGTTAAGACCAAGGAGCTCCTCAAGAGAGATCCTCTCAACCGGCAGTGCTGTTGCCTACCTCTCAGGAGGTGGGCCCTGCTCAGACCTTAGAAACATGACTGGATCAGGACCTGATACATCATGTGGGGTCTGAGAGGGGTCCTGCTGTCACAGACCTAGCCATTCAGTGTGTACAGATGGACCACGGTGTTTACCCTCTGTCCAGGGCTCCTTCCACAGAACCTGCAGATCCTCTGCCCAAAGCAGCCTCACTGAGCTTCCCAAGGGAACTGCAGTCAAATCTAAACCTCAGCTCACCACTAGAGCCCCCTCTGACAGGGCTAGTTCCTGCTCTCCTTGTACACCCTTAAAAGCTACTGGGATTATACCATGAATAAAGAATAGTCAGAGGCTCCAATGGAAACCACATGGACACTACCCCTAACAGTATGGGTCCTGCTATGGGTTGAACTATGTGTCCATCTCCCAATTCATATGTTGAAATCCCAACCCCCAGTGTCTCTGAATGTAACATCTACAAACCCTATATTCAGAATGTCTCAGAATATAGGGTTTGTGGATGTAATTGGTTAACTTAGGATGAGATTAAACTAGAGTAGGGTGGGCTCCTAACCTAACCATACCAGTCCCCATAAAAAAGGGGAAACCTGGACACAAGATGCCCACAGGGAGAATGCCATGAAAGATGAAAAAACAAGGAATATCAAAGATTGCCAGCAGCTAGGGGAGAGGCATGGATCAGATCCTTCCCTCATAGCCCTCAAAGGAACCAGCCCTACTGATAACCTTGACCTCGGGCTTCTAGCCTCCAGAACTGTGAGACAAGAAATTTTGTTAAGTCACTCAGCTGGTGGTACAGCAGCCACAGAAAACTAACCCAGGTCCCTTGCTTTGCAACCTTCTAAACTGGGCAGTACTACATTAGAGTTTGGGTGACTAATAGGGATGTTAAAGACAGGCAAGAGTTAGAGCCCCATGCTGGAGCCAGGTATGGAATCTAGCAGAAGAGGGGCTGCGCTTGGGGTCAGGGCAGAACGACCCTGCCTGGGTGCTGGGGGCTGTTACATTCTGCCTATGAACCCTCCAGTTCTGCGGGACTCACACAGTTGGCTATAGACACCATCCGGAACCACCAGGGTCGGGGACAGAATACCAGCCAGCTGCTTCATCACCAGAGCCGTGGCCGCAAGTTTGCACACGTGATCACACTCCAGAGGCTGGATGCTCACTGGCAGCCCCTCAAGGAAGGCCATGATGACAGGGACATGGAAGCGTGTGGAGGGAGCTGGGTGGCCAGTGGAATATGCTACTGGCCCTTCATCTACCTCCGACGCCTGCAGGATTCCCAGTATCTTATTTTCCTCTGTTAAAAGGAAAAGTGTTTTCGGCAAAACCACAAAATGGGGAATTTGATTCAGGAAAGAGATGGGTCAAATATGGCTTCCTGGCCTTAGATCCTTGACACAGAGTCCTCATGAGCAGTGCACTGATTTAGAGAGGGTTTGCCTTCAATCGACCCTGGATGTTCCCAGGCTAATTCAAGGCACAGAGATGACACTAACCAAATACAGGTCTCCTTTTCTTTGCTTTTTCTTGGCTTTTTTTCAACAAGTAATTTCTTATCTGAGGTAGTGCTGAGAGGGCTAACTCCCTGGACTCCACAAGACTGGCACTGTCCAGCTCTCGGTCCAATTCCAGGTACTCCTAGTTTTGTCTCTCTGGGCTGAAGTGACGGCCCTTGCGGACCTGGAAAGTGAGGGTGTCAATCCTTGGAATCTACTTCTGACTCTTTCCTGCCTGGCTAGCACCTGGCCAGCTAGCTGGGCATTCACCTTGTTCCCATCCTTCCATACATCCACATGCTATATGAGCACACACTCCACTCAGGAAGACTGTGTCCTAAAGGTCAAACAGGAGGAGAAATCCTTATGCTGTGAAGAGGTACAAGCTTTCTGCTCTAGCTCTTTAAAGACCACTGCAATTCTCCTGCAGAGGAGCAATGCAGCTCTGGAGAAGTATGGCATTGTGGGCCTTCAGTAGATCCTGAAATCGCCAGGGGAGTAGAGTTTTAATTATTCTCTCGCAAAGTCCCCATATGTACCTATTGCCCATCCATCCACATGTTCCTGATTCTCAGTTTAGAAAATAAGATCTAACCAACTACCCTTTGAGGGGGAGCTTATGTCCCAGAGGGTGTCTCTAGAATCTCACAAGCCCATGGATGGCAGAGCAATTGCTTCAACCCCTCCCTTGTCTAGAGGTCAAAAGCTGGAGGGGAGCCACGGAGCACCATCACAGTAGGTGAGGAAGGTCTCCCCCTAAGTTTCCTTCCCTCTACTGGCTGCTCTTTTAAGCTGGACACAGCAAACGCTCAGCTGTCCTGCTTGCAGTCTGGAGCTCTAGTGCTCTCCTATTCATGATGTTCTTCCTTCTGGATTATCTGTTTCCTTCAGTGGGAAAGTCTGCCAAAGCCTGTGATTTGTGCCACTTTTGTTTGCAGGCCATCAATTCCCCTTGCCTCACAAAGAGTATTTTATCTCTTTCTGTCCAGTAGCCTGAGTTCCTGAGAGCGAACAAGTGAGGGATACGCTAGCCTCTCATGACTTATGTGGAATCAGAGTGAGTTCTTACCACGGTGAGTCCTTAATGCTTCCATCTTCTCCCTCCTGTATCATCTTCCGTCTTCTGCCTACACACTGAGCTGGCTTTTTTTCAAAATACTGGAAGTCACGAGTGATAGGTCTTCATGTATATTTTGTCAAATAACCGTAGATATTCTCCTCCTTCTCTCTCTCCCCACCCCTCAGCTCTTCCTCTTCCCCTATACACGCGTGCACTTTCCTCTGAATGAGTATGCATGCGTGTATATAGTCACATATGTATAGATGCACTTGGGTCATCGTCGTTCATGGTTTATGCCTGTGATTATATGTGTACTTATATTTGTAACTGTCATCTCTGAGGAAGCATCCTATGTAACGATATGGGCTGTCAATAAATGCAGGGAACAACAATTTTCCAATTTTGGTGTGTTTATATGGAGAGAATGGCTGTTAAAAATATCCATTCTATAACAAAAAGATAAACCTGATTTCTAGCCATTCAACCTTGTAATAGGTTAAATGATAACAAACCATTCATTGATTTTTTTTTTTAAAGAGTAATAAACAGAAACATGTACCAATTGAAAGGGCCAGGCAATTCAATTATAATTAGGAAAACAAAAAGTGATGAGCCTGAACAATGCTGCCTTGGTTTGGGGGATAAGTATTGAAAATGCCAACTACATAACAATGCACTGTTTGTTTTCTCATTATTAAAGGCACCGACACTATCACCTCATTTGTGAAAGCCAAACCCAGTTGAAAGGAATACAAAGCTCAGAAGATTGGTTTGATAGACATACCTAAAAAATACCCACATAAACACAGACCCAAATATAATGAAAATATATAGCAGAAGAATATTTGAGTAAATTTATATTCACCACTCTACTGATTAATGTACCAGTCCATTCATCCATTCATCTGTCCGTCTGTCCATTCATCCGTCCGTCCATCCATCCATCCATCCATTCACTGATTCAACAAATATGTTTTGAGCTCTTACTATGCTTTAGGAACTGTGTTATTAATATATACCTGCAGTATATATTAATACCCAGGTGCAAATGACTCCAGTGAAAATAACAGTTCTTTTTTATTTCTAGTAATTACTGGCTCAACTTTCTCTGTGTGGCTAGGAGGAGAAATACTTAAACAGCTGAAGACAGACGACGACATGCCAACATACCTTTTGTAGCCAGGCGAACGCAGTTGATTTTGGTCTCCTGTGAACAACAAAAGTGAGGTTCCAGTTAATTAGTTGCAGGTTTGGTTTGTTATATAAAGAAAAAAATATACATATGTATTTTTAATTATAATTTTAAATATGTCCTTTCCATTTCTTCCCCCACTGGAATCACCTTTTAATTCTATTTCTTCTTTTCTTTTCAGGCTAGGTACATACTTGGTTCCTTTCACTTCCTGGCTCCCATGACCTCATAAACTTCTTCCCCAGACAGAACCACTTATAAACATATGATACTGCTACTGCGTAGCACAGGACAACTTTAACAATGACACTAAGTGAGTACACTGTGGCATGAGTTAGTAGATGGCACCAGGACCATCTTTGGGAAAATATAAATAAATAATGCATCTATCGGCACAGGCTGAAACAGACCCTTGGCAATAGCTCAGTCAATAGGAACATGTAAGAATCAAACTACAAAGTTCATGTTCAAAAAGTCACTTTGGTCCCGAGATTTTTGGTGAACCTCACGGTTTTCATGGCTAATGTTGTGTGTGTGTGCTCGTGTGGCAATCAAATCTTTGCTGGGTAAACTAATTATTGTTGGCTGTTCCCCAAGTGGACAAAATCCATAAACCTGTGATGTTACTGGGCATGCAGTTGAGTTCTGTGTTTAGAAGGAGAATCATTTTAGCCTGCTTTATTCGGATCATCTCCCAGGAGGCCCTAGAACCAGTTAAAAATTCCAGTTTACTAAGCTATACCTCCAGCAACAGTCTGAATGTAGTGTAGCAATGAAAATAAAAGGCAAAGAATGCAAGTGTGTGAGTCTCAAGAATCAAATGTGTGTCCTGCTACTGCTGCGTCACAAGAAATCACGGTTTCTTGAAGGCACTTGTGTTAGTCAGGTCTTTGAGGGTTCTTGGACCCAATTCTGTTGTGTGTGTGGTGTGGGGGGAAGGTGGGGGGTGGTTCCTCCCCTTCTACAACACCAAGCAATCTTCAGATACTGGCAGGGTTTCTGAGAAATCAACTCAGTTCTGACACAGTCTACCTGGAGATGGCATCAGATTCCACAGGTTAAGGGTTCAGTTCTACAAGACTGTCACCTACCCCCTACTTCAGATGCCAGGTGCAAGCCTCAGGCTGTTACCTGTGCTTCTGACCTACCAGCTATAGATTGAAGGTTCCAATGACCTCCTCCTTAGGTTTGATTAATTTGTTAGAGCAGCTCACAGAACTCAAAGAAACATGTTAGTAGATGACCAGTTTATTGTAAAAGGATGTAACTAAGGAGCAGTCAGATAGAAGAGATGTATAGGGTGAGGTATGTGGGGAAGGGCGCAGAACCTCCATGCCTTTTCAAGAAGTGCTACTCTCCCAATCTTCATGTGATCACCTACCCAGAAGCTCTCTAAACCCAGTCCTTCTGGCTTTTTATGGGGGCTTCACTGCATAGTCATTATTGACTTAGTCATTGGTTACTGGCTGATTCAACCTCTAGCCCCTCACCTCTCCCCAGAGGTCCAGTAGGCTAGGGGTAGGGTGGGACTGTGGGACTATGGGACTGAATGTTCTAACCCTCTAATCAGAAGTTGATCCTCCTGGCAACCAGCTCCCTCCTTGGGTGGGGTCCAAAAGTCACCCTCATTAACATAACAAAAGACACCTTTATCACCACTGACACTTAGGAAATTCCAAGGACTGAGGAAACTGTGAGCTAGAAACCAGGGACAAAGACCAAATACACATGAGAAATATTTTTTGTCATTCAGAAATCACAATCTAAGAAATCACAATATTGCATCAGGGTTATGCAGAAGTATAAAACCCATGAACTTCAGTGGCTAAAAACACTAAAGGTGTATTTCCCACTTAAACCAACATGTCCAATGTAGGTGCATGACTAGGTCTGAAGTGGGGTTGTGGTGGTGGTTGGGGGATACTGCAATCACTGTAGGTTCTCAGAGACCAAAGCTGGTACATTTATTTTTTAATTTTTAAATTAAGACAAATTTTATTTAAATTCAATTTAGTTAACATATAGTATATTATTAGTTTCAGGGATAGAATTTAGTGATTCATCAGTTGCATAAACACCCAGTACTCATTATACCAAGTGCCCTCCTTAATGCCCATCACCCATTTACCCCATTTCCCCACCCACTTCCCCTCCCGCACCCTCAGTTTGTTTCCTATAGTTAAGAGTCTCTTATGGTTTTTATCTTATTTTATTTCTCTTTCCCTTCCCCTCTGTTCATCTGTTGTGTTTCTTAAATTCCACAACAGTGAAATCATGTGGTATTGGTCTTTCTCTGACTGACTTATTTCAGTGAGCATAATACCCTATAGTTTCATCCACATCATTGCAAATGGCAAGACTTCATTATTTTTAAAGGCTGAGTACTATTCCACTGTGTGTGTGTGTATGTACACATACACATATATATACACCACATCTTCTTAATCCATTCATCTGTTGAATGAATGTTGGCTATTGTGGACACTGCTGCTATAAATACTGGGGTGCAGGTGCCCCTTCAAATCACTATTTTTGTAACTTTGGGGTAAATACCCAGTAGTGCAATTGCTGGATTGTATGGTAGCTCTATTTTCAACTTTTTGAGGAACCTCCATACTGTTTTCCAGAGTGGTTGCACCAGCTTGCATTCCCACTGACAGTGTAGGAGGCTTCCCCTTTCTCCGCATCCTCACCAACATCTGTTATTTCCTGAGTTGTTAATTTTAGCCATTCGGACTGGTGTGGGGTGATATCTCATTATGGTTTTGATTTGTATTTCCCTGATGCTGAGTGATGTTGAGCATTTTTTCATGTGTCTGTTAGCCATTTGTATGTCTTCTTTGGAGAAATGTCTGCTCATGTCTACCTCCATTTTAACACAAGGCTGCACTGTTCACTGAGGCAGGAGAAAAGAATGCTGGAGTTGGAAACTCAGAATCAAATGCTTTGTATCAGAAGCTACAGTTACTTGACTCAAGTTTCATCGACTAAAACCAGTCATATGGCCACGCCTAACTTGTGAGGTGGGGAAATGGAGTCCTCCATGCACCCAGAAGTAGAGAAGAAACTGTAATATCTATAGCAGAGTCTATTTTCTCTAGGCACACCTCTGAATGCTAGAAACTGTCTCTTGAAGTATGACTCCCCAGTGGTCTTGATTCTGTTCCTCACACCACAGAAAGTCTTCCCTTGCTTGTGTACAAAAGATGTCTGGATATTGAAAGATGGTTCTCATTTCTATTAATGTTCCTCAACCATTCCTCAGATGATAAGAGTAGAGTTCAAGTCCTTTGAACCAATATTGCTACTCATCCTGGAACATCTTGCAGTTTTGTCCCTCTTATTGAGAAGGAAGTAGAATAGGAAGCAGCAGTCTACATGTGGTCTTGTCAATATATGATTACCTAGATTATCACTATTTTCTATTTTCCTTAGTTATACTGGGCTTCTATTAACATAGCCAACATCTCAGTTTTTCATTGATCACAATGAATGTGCCATCAACCTTCCCCCCACCAAAAAAAAAAAAAAAAATCTGCCTGCTTCTACATACATAAATGTGGTTGTATTTCTGGAATCCAAGTACAGAGTCATATACTGATTTCCCCTATTGACTTCCATCTTCTTTGATCTGGTTGCTACAGCCTGTCATCATATTCTCCACCATACCTAAGTTTTTGGACATATTTTTCTATAATTTTATCCAGATCATTAATATAGGTGGTAACCTGGAGAATGCCATTGATAAAGATTTGTGACATGTACTAGAATCCGCCTTCCAGGTTGGTATTCATTGCTCATCAGAAGTTTTGGATGGTTATCTAACTACTTATTTCCTCAACTGCTTATGCACTTGGATCCTTCTGCTGTGTTTTCCCACCAAAATAGCTTGAGGATAGGGTCAGACTCACTTCAGATACTCAGACTCTGTCTACTTCATTTCCCCACTCTATCGGTCTAAGAACTCTCTCAAAGAAAGAAGGTTGGGTTGACATGACTTGTTCTTTAGGCCAAGTGTTTCCCTTCCTTTCTTTTTGTTAATGCTGAAAGTGCTCTTTTTTAAAATAAACAATTACTTTATTAAACAACTGGAAAATGCAGAAATGTTAAAAGAATATCACACTCTATGATTCAAATATATGATGTATTCATTTGAGGTGTTCATGATATTTCAAGTATGCTTTTCAAGAAAAAGGTTTTTTTAAAAGAGTATATACAGAAGAAAGAAGGAAAAATTATGAATAAAAAACAGAAAAATAAAGTGGAACTTTCTAAATGTGATGCCAAAAAGCTTCAGTCACAAATGAGGTAAAACCTGAAAATGATGATAAAAGTGAGCCAATGAATTTTTTTATTTTCATGTTTGGAGAAAGAGCAGATGTCCAACTCCTGTTGGCATCCATTTCTGTTCTCTGGCTTAAAGGGTCAGTGAGCTGAAGCCTGAGATGGTTACAGAGAGTATGAGCTCCTGAGGACTGAAGGCTGCATCTGCACATGGCTGTGCAGCACCAAAACAACCATCACCAAGAAACTGTGGCGAGTGGAGCTATGCCACTAGGAATGGTCAGAAGGATTGCCAACTTTATATTAATACAACGAAAAAGGATTTTGCAAGAACTGTATTAGGAAACTTGCCAATCACATGCACAATTATTACATACAGGAATGGGCAAGAGTTTGATGAGGATTTCACTGCTGGGGGTAATTTGTAAATATGTATCCAGACATCAAAGAGAGTTGATCTAATCTTTTCACATCTAAGATTTTCTCAGGATGCCTCGGTGGCTTAGTTGGTTAAGCAACTGACTTTTGGTTTTGGCTCAGGTGATGATCTCATGTGTTGTGGGATCAAGCCCCACATCAGGCTCCGTACTCAGTGGGGAGTCTGCTTGGGATTCTCTCTCTCTCTCTCCCACTGCCCCTCCCCTGCTTGCATGCATATGCATACACATTCTCTCTCTAATAAATAAACAAATCTTTTTTAAAAAACAGGATCTATTCTCAGGGAATAATCT